GAGAACTTTTTACTAAGATGTTTTTGCATTTTACGTTCAAACGTAAAATGCAAAAACATATTAGTAAAAAGTTCTCCAATTTGCTTTAAACATTCAGGATATGTGTATTTTATGTCCTGAATAACTCCTATTAAGTGACTTTCATCGATTTACTTAATAGAATTTTGACTTTTGTATATAGAAACTACTTCTGGATTTTGAAAAATTATCGGGAGTAGCTTATTTTCGGAATAAAGATTTTTTTTATGTTTCTTCTCCAAGAAAAGAGGGGTAGCTTATTTTTGGAGGTAGCTTATTTTCGGAAACCTACAGTACTACTTTATAATAACAATTTTTTCTTAATAGTATATCTCTATTTAGTTGATATTTTATATATAAATATTATAAGATTATTTAATATAAAAATAATTAATTAAACTAATTTAAACAGATTTGAGAATAGTTAGAGTTAGAGTAAGAGTTATAGTATAGTTTATAGTTAGCTTCAGATTAGAGTTAGAGTTTTTATATTAAATAATCTTATAATATTTATATATTTCTATTTATACTAAATAAGATCCTTTTTTCAAACTTTATTCTCTATTAATCTTTTTTTAACTTATTTCTGACATATTAAAATATATTAAGTTAAAATACTCCATTCTGATCAAATTTTTGACTATACTAAAAAAAATTTTAAAATATATATAGATTATTAAATTAACAAAATATCTTGTACTAATACTATCTAATATATGCTGAACTTATCTTATAAAGCATATACACAAATAGGCCTATTATTGGTAAATCAAAAACAACTTTAATTTTTTCTAGTCTAAGAACTACCACTTCTTTCTTTAAAAGAAAATAACACCAACACTTTTATATCTTCACTATAACTAAACAAAAGTGATTACATTTATATTATATATTATTAATAACAGACAACCATAATACTCTATTATTAAAATGCTCTTTATATACTTATTTCTTCTATTATAATAAATTAAATAATCTGCAAAATAAATTATAAAAAATTTATAGTTAATAAAATAGTGAAAATTAGAAAATTATTTTAAGAAAGATAAATTTCAAAATAAAGGCTTTATTTATACCCATACAAAGCTTCTATTTCTGATTTAATAAGTTCTGATTATATTTGTTCTAATTTATCTAATTTAATCTAGTCTTGATATACTAAATATGCATATACCATGCCAACTTATACAAAGGCTTATATTTTAATACACAACTTTGTAAAGATTTTTTGCAATCTCTATTAACTACAATATTTATAAATACAAATTTGCTATAATATATAAATATCTAAAAGAACAGAATTGTTAAATTATTTTTTATAACTCTAAAACTTTATATATAAAAACTATAGCATTTTTAATTAGTATCATAATTATTAATATAATTGATTAAGAAATATTATTTAAATTTTAATATGTTACTACAAATGGCTTGCAAAATATATTACTAAGTATATTACAAAGCTAGAATCTTTAAATCTTTTTACTATAGATAACTATAACAATTACTATAAACATGTTCAAGCAAGAAAACTTAGTTCTATAAAACTAATGATTTTACTTTTGCAATATTCATAACAAATATTTAATATCTTCTATTAACTTTCTTTCTTAAATTTATATACAAGACTGTCAAACCAATTTATATTTAATTTATAAAGTTAGAAAATAATAATAATAATAAACAGCTAAATTAAAACAATACAATAGATAAATACTTTAATTATCTTATATCTTTATTTGTATCTCTTATATATTCTAATTACTTTTGTAGTTTTAATATCAAATATCAACTGCTATTTTTAATTCTAAAACTTATTGTACTCTAAATCAAAAAAAGATACATATTGCTCAAAAACTTCAACTATTATAATTTGCTCTTTATAAAATAAAGATAGTAAACTCTTTTTTTTTAATATATAATAATAAAAATCTCTTGCTACTCTGAAAAAAATCTTCTTACAAACTTTTTTACTTACTATAAAAGATTTAAATTTCTTCATCCTTTACAATATGATAATATAATATTAACAATTAATAATACTATTATAATGTAAAAATTATTTATTATCTTATATAGAAATTTTCTTGACAAATTCTTAAGCTTCTTAAAAAATTATAATATATATCTATAATTTAATTCTACACTACTCCTTTTTCTACAATATCTATTACTATCTATATTTATATATACAACTTTATTCATTAATAATAATTAATACAGATTATATAATCTACTTTACAATACTTGGAACTATAATACAGAGAAAAATATTCATATTTTTTTAACAAGATTTGTGAGAACAGAAAAACTATTTTGCCCTACTTTATACTATATTCCATAAGCAAAGTCAATAAATTGTTCACTGTTTTCTTCCCAGCTTTAAGCTCGGATTTATGATTGTTTATTATATTATACACATAGTCATCAACATATTTACAAGCCTTACGGAATCGTCAACCTTTTTCACTATATTTTTCTATAAATTTCCATAAAGGTTGTTCAAATCTATCCTGTATAACTTTTAAAGCATATTCAAAATTAGTAACAAATTGCGATTTTTCCTCAGGATGGGTTAGATATCCAAAATCTATACCGAATGATATACTATTTAAAAAAAAATTAAATTTATTAATAAAAGTCAATAACATATGATTATAATTAAGATTATATAAATAGAAACTTACTCTCCAAACGTATCTATTGTGAATTTGTAAAATAAGTCTTGTAAATCAATGGGGTTTCTGCTATCTGCATACTTTGTTAAAATATCTATTAGCACTTGAGATTTTCTAATTATAGATGAATAAATCAGATTTCTAAAGTTTTTCCTAGAAACAGCTGACTTATTATTCTTCTTTGAAATTTCCATTTATGCCTTTATTTATATATATTTTTAAAATAATTAGTGCATATTTATTCAAATAATAACTTCAGTAAAATACAAACCCATTAATCACAAATATTCCATCTCCAAAAATTTCATAACCCATTTCATGTAAAATATCACTTTTTCCATAATTCTCAAAATCTGCTTAATTTAAAATTAAATTTATTAAAGTTAATTCTTGATACATATTCGTGTTAACTCTTAAATTAGAATACTTACTTTTTAAAATATGTTCTATTGTTATTATTATGTAAAAATCAATATATATATATATCAAAATGAATGCATTCTTTAATAATACTTATAAAAATTAATAATACAAAAGTGATCCATATTTATCTGCCAAATTTTGTTCGTAATGAATATAAGTTTTTCTTCTTAAAAATAAGAAAAAATTTCCAAATATTGGAAGGCCCTTAGGCCCAATGAGATCTTCCCTAGATCTTGTTCCTAATGCACGATCCGGATATTTTACAACAAGATAAATAATATAACTTATAATTGAAATTAAAAATATAATAAAGACATCGGATATTGTTAGATTTAATTTTCGTAGAATTTGAATCATTGTTGATATAATTAAGTGAAATGTTTCAAATGAGCAAATGAACCAATCTAAAATAAATGCTTTTTTATATATTGATGCATTATCAGTATTACATAATTATACATTAGATTAACGATCTATACTATTTTTGGGTTAGAGTTTCCAACCGGTTTTATTTTTCATATGGGCCCTTCCACAGCAAATCGGGGCTTAGAGACAAACTAACGGAAATCAAGATTTTTATTGGATTGTGTGACTTATTCGTAGTAAAAATTTTAACATATGTTGACATATTATAATTTGGCACAGTTCTATACGCAGTAGTTTTTGCATACGATGATTTTCTGTTCTAATTTTAGATTGCTGCATGATCTGTATTACGTATTGCTGTCAGCTGCATTACCACATGATCATGTACATTATGATCTTTTTTACTTAATCGTAGTAAAGAATTTTCATTCAACCGGTGAAGTAGCCTCAGAATTCCAGACTTCTGGATATCAAATTATCGTAAACCT